TAGGTGATGGAGCTGGGTTGTAGCCTTCGAGGGTTCGTGATGGGAATAATCAGGTTCAAGGTGAAAACCTATTAGGAGATGCAGTGAGGGCACATAATCCACAAGGACGAAGACTGCCTGATAACTATAGGATCAACTTTAATGTTGCTGAATCTGACGGACCTCTTGTTCTACCCCCTCTACCTCTGGGGCATACATTTGTGGTGACTAGCAGTTTGATGCAAATGCTTATAGCGAGGGTTTGTTCTTTGGTTTGACATCGGAGGATCCACATGCGCACATAGCCAAGCTGATGAGTGTGTGCAAAAGTTGTGTGGGTCGATCAGACTTAGACATGGATGTCATTGGATTGCGAGTTTTCCCTCTATCATTGACCGGTGATGCTGATGTGTGGTTTAATGAGCTCCCTTATAACTCAATCTATACAGAGGACCAATTAACTGAGGTGTTCCTGGCAAGATTCATTCTATTGTCAAAGAAGCTGAACTACAAAGATAAACTCAACAATTACGTAGCACTACATGGAGAGTCTGTGAGTGGTTCCTGGGATAGGTTCACTGCTTTCATAAGAGGCATCCTGAATCAACGCATTGATGATGAATCACTGAAGGAATACTTCTACCGAGGCCAGGATGACAATAGTAAGGGGGTGCTAAATACTATCGCTGGAGGTTCATATGGTGAGTATACTTTTGAGTAGATCATTGAGAAGCTGGAGAAGATTTCCTGGAATAATAAAGCGTGGAGTACTAGATAGTCGGACACAGAGAGAAACACGTTTGCAGTCCAAGCTACAACTAACCAATCTGCCGATGATATTCGTGAGGAGATGGGTCAGATGATGACCGAACTAGGTTTGGTGTTGAAGTATGTAAGCGGAGGTACAGAAAAGGTAAATGCGGTTAATTTCTTGACCAAGACTCCACCACCACTAGATGAGGAATACCACTATGAGGAGGATGCTTATTTGGTGAATGATCAGATGGGGGGTTTCCGAGCCAACGCCCAAGGTTCCAACTCGGATAATTGGCGCCAAGGGCAAGGAAACCAAGGTCGAAACTATGGAAACTACAACCGATAAGGTAACTATGTCTGGGATGGGAACTATAATCGTGTCAACAACTACCCGAAACAACTATGGCAACAGAATCGATCGGGTTGGGCCTTATATTCCTCCACAAAATCGGGAATCTTGCAATAGAGAGACTGGGGTAGTATGTCACGGATTGAGGAGATATGTAGAAGATGATGAAGAGGTTTGAGTCGACTGATGAGAATGTGAAGGAGAAATGAAACAACTCGTCTGGACTTGGTCAAAAAGTTGATGCCCATGCAGTGTCGATCAAGTAACTTGAGAAGCACATAAATCAGTTGTCGACTACAGTAAATCCACGTCAGCCCGACACACTTCCTTGCAACACCATCCAAAATCCAAAGAACGATAGGCATTGTATGGCAGTCACTACTTGATGGGGTAAGCAGACCATTGACCCACCTATGACGTCTGGGGTTGAAGTTGAGGATAGTAAAAATGATGATGTGATTGAGGTACATGGAGAGTCTGAGAATGCGATAGAGAAGGAAGTGGAGATAACCCAGAAAGTTATTCCCATGCTTAGACCTCCACCTCCTTTCCCACAGAGGTTAGTGAAGAAGACTGAAGAAGGCAAATACCGCATGTTTATTAGTATGTTGAAGCAAATTTCCATCAATGTGCCGTTGATAGAACTTTGGAGCAAATGCTTGGGTATGCAAAGTTTATAAAGGACTTGGTAACTAAAAAATGGGCCGTGAGTTTTGAAGATGAGAATAAGTTATTGTAACACCCCAAAAATTCTATTACTTAAGTTAGAGCCTCACCTTATGAATAATGACTTAAAATAGTTAAAATGATGTTTCTAAACCTAAATTAATGCAATTGACTTGGTTTGGAAGAGTAAAAGTCTAATCGTCAAGAAATGACCACGTCGTCCGAAAACTAGAGAAGAATGTGTTCTAGTGTGTCCTTATGTTTTGGGCAGGCTTGGGAGTGTCGTATGATGGTATAATCTTGTAAAAAGGTTCAAATTATGTAAATATATGTTTATAGGGTCAAATCGTTCGAATACGATTCCCCGGGGCCACCCTAAGGGGACCCTAAGAGGACCCCAACCTTGGCCAAGCAAGTTGCCAAGGTAGCTTGCAATTTGCACTTGGTGGGAATAGCTCCGCATCGCGGACTAGCTCCCCCAAGGATAAAAAAGTTAGTTCACGACGCGGTCGTGTCGCGGACTCTACTGTCTCAAATTTAATTCCAACTATCTTCAGAGAACAACAAGTCCGCGACGAAAATGCAGAAATTCAGAAATTGATTTTTATTTCATTAAAGAGTCCAACTGAGTGAGGGGTATTTAGGGTACTTTAGGGGACGTGTCTATAATGATTTTTAAGTCAATTTACCTCATTTTTATCACTCAAACACAAAACCCCAAAGATCTAAGCCTAAAGTTTCTCATTTTCTCTACTCTCTCTCTCTTCTCAAGAACTAAATTGAGGAAGATTGGAGCTTCAAGAAGAAGTCCAACTCTCCAAGGTTTCAACTCGGATTTTCGTGGTTAATTCGTCAATACGGTATGGTTGCTTATCACTCTTGGGATTCCTTTCCCCAAGAGGCCTCTTCAAGATGAATTTCAAAATCTTCAATTTCTAGGTTTCAATCCAAAAATGTGGGTCTTCTTTTTAAAGTGAAATTGATGTTATAAACTGACTTTGATCGATGTTATATGAACAATTATGGATGAATTTATGTTGTATATGTGGTTTCTTGAAGAATTCCCCATGAGACCCATGTTTCTCCTTCTTTTCCTAATTCTAACCCTAGTTTGTGTTGGATATTGATTGAAGGCTATGAATTGAATGTGATGTTATGTAATTCATGTTTGTATGATGATTCTACCCTCGGTTATGTATAATTTTTATGAAATTAGGGTTGAGTCTTTGAATGAAACCTTGAAGGCTATGAAGGGAATATGTCAATTGCTTATATTGATGTTGATTATGTTGTGACTTCATGAATTACCTTATATTATGGATTGGTTATGAATTAATTGGTAATTGAACTATGAATGTCCCAAGAAAGGGAAGAAGGTATGAAGGTTGGTTCTTCTTTGAACTCAAGTATAAAAGGTGAATTACTTAGATTGTAATGATGCTATACCTAATGTGTTGTTGTGGTGTTAATGACGTAGTTTCCTCATCCTTAACCCTCTACACTTGAATTACCTATGAAGTATGTATGTATGTTATGGTATGATTGCTATATGATTGAAAGGTAGTTCTCATGATTATAGTGTAATGTAAAGTGAAAGGTTTACTCACTTGCTAAGTGTTTCTAAAGTGAAAGGATTGTTATTCACTTATGAATACATATGAGCTATTATGGTAAGATGTCTACATAAGAGTCTAGTAAAGGCTAATGTGAATTTATGTGATGACTAAAGATGATTACAAAAGGGAATTAGATGCTTAGCACCGAAAGGGCATGTAAATGAGATCGGGGTCTCACGTTTAGTAATTCCGACTCCCTACATTGGTTTCCTTACGTTTAGCAAGTCGGATTACCCACGGTATGTGTTTTCTCATGAGATGGAAACCCTCACGTTTAGTAAGTTAGGGTTTCTATAAGCAATCTCCTTGACCCTAAACTATGTGCCCACATATGACTCTAGGTTAGTGGATCCACCTAGATAGCTATGTACGAATGGTTACACCTTAGGCAAGTGTTAACCCTCACTTTTCGGTGTGAGAGTAGAACACCGGATTCCATGTAGCTCTCATGGTCTATGTCGGTTAATGCAATATTTCCCTAATATAAAAGTAAATGAAGGTATGAAAGGTGTGAACTCTTACTAGGGCATTCTTAAGGGTTTCTACATAGTGTAAGAGAGGGTATGAGTCTTCCCTTGCACATTGCACTTGTGGGATCCTAAAGAGATGGTTGTAGTAGTATTCTCTTATGATTATGATGATTATGACTTAACTATGTTGAAGCTATGTTATGTATGATCATTATGAATATGGTATGATGAAATATGATCTTATGAATGTATGCATGAATGAGGCTGCTTAATGTGATATTTGGCTTTGAATAGGGTTATGGGATTCTATTCTTTGCATTACACTAGTACTACTTGGGTTGTCTACGTGTTGGGATGATATTATGTTGGTTTGGACTATGATGCTTACTTGGTGTGCATATTGGATTTACTTGGTAAAAAACATGTTTTGACTAAATGTCCTTTTATGTATGTTTCAATGGTTTTTATGCATAGTGGCCATACTTAGTACGTGTGTTGTACTAACCCATATTTTCTCCCTTTTCCCCAAACATTTAGGTTCGGGCCATTGAGGATTTAAGCTTACTTCTCAAGACACTTGGAGTTGTTTCCCCTAGTTGGTGAGTCCTCAATTTTGAGGACAAGACCCTATGTTCTAGCTTCTATGTTTAATTCTTTGCTTATGTTGAAAGACATTGTTGTACTTTCCTATTTCAAGATTTCTTATTGATGTAAGGGCTAAGTCCCATTTTTGATACTTCTATGTCTAGATGGTGCATTGTGACGAAGTTAGATTCTGTTTTTCGTATATGAAGTGAAGTTGAACTTCCAAAGTAAAAGTTTTTAATTTTATGTTATTTTATTCTATGATACATGTTATGACGAATGCTAAGGGCTTGTATAAGACCTCTTCGAGGTCGAATACGCCGGTAACGACTAGAGGGTCCTCTCGGGTCGTTACAAACTTGGTATCAGAGCATGAGGTTAAGAATAATGTAGGATTCATGTCACAAGATACTACGTCGAGTAGAGTCTTGTTCATGGGTGTGAAGCGCGCCACACTTATGAATGAGAGGCTACGAGATGCTTAGGAACTTTCACTCTTTTCTTTTTCCATAGTTGTGCGTAAGAGTCTTAAGTCTATTTAGTCCTTTTCTTCTAATCCTTCTCTTGTGCTTATAGGCAATGAATACAAGAAGGAACAATGCAAGGAGGGCCGGTGAGGAGAATGTGAATGAGGCGGTTCCCCCTCAAGCCCCTCAAAACCCACAAGTTCCTATTGAAGAAGGGGCTATGTCTAATGTAGAGATAAGGTCGGCTATTCATAATTTGACTCAAGTGTTGGCCACTCAAGTTGCTAGGGATGCTATGGTGCAAGTGAACCCAAATGGTAGGACTACCGCTTCTAGGATAAGGGATTTCACAAGGATAAATCCCCCTACTTTCTTTGGCTGCAAAGTGGAAAAAGATCCACAAGGGTTCATTGATGAAGTGTTTAAGGTTCTAGAGTCTATGAGTGTGTCTTCTCAAGAAAAGGCGGAGTTAGCCATCTATCAACTCAAAGATGTGTCACAAGTGCGGTATGGACAATGGAAGGAGGGGAGATTTATTAGAGAGGGTCCTTTATGTTGGGCTACATTCAAGACGACTTTTCTTGATAGGTTTTTCCCCTTGGAACTAAGGGAGAGGAAAATGAAAGAATTCATCAACCTCCATCAAGGGGGTATGAGTGTGAAGGAGTATGGCCTCAAGTTCACTCAATTGTCCAAGCATGCTTCTACTTTGGTGTCAGACTCTAGAGCTATAATGAACAGATTTGTTATGGGGGTATCCGATCTTGTGGTGAATGAATGTAGGTCGGCTATGCTAATCCCAAGAATGGACATTTCTCGTCTTATGGTTCATGCTGAACAAATTGAGAAGCAAAAACTTAAGCAAGTTGGTAGAGAATTGAAGAGGTGAATGGCCGATGATGGAAATTCTTCTAAGGTTAGGTTTGATATCCAAGGTAAGCCAAAGTTCAAAAAGAGGTTTTCCAACCAAGGTCCTCCTAACACTCCAAGGGTCAACAAAGGTAAAGTTTATACCCCCAAGCCTCAAGAAGCAAGAGGTGGTGGTCCTTATGTTGAGAAGCCTATTTGTACAAAGTGTGGTCGAAAACATGAAGACAAGTGCCTAGTTGGCACGGGTAATTGCTATGGTTGTGGTAAGAGCGGCCACATGAGGAGGGACTGCCCTATGCTAAAGGCTCAAGGAAGGGAAAATGCTCAAGCACAAACAAGTGGCTCGAATCCTGATGCTCCTAAGAAGAATCGCTTCTACGCTCTCCAATCCCGAAGTGATCAAGAGAGCTCTCCGGATGTTGTGACCGGTATGTTACAAGTATTTTCAATTAATGTTTATGTATTGTTGGATCCCAGTGCCACTTCGTCATTTGTAACCCGTTTAGTGGCTATGAAGTTTGATATGTTTCTTGATGTCTTAGATAAACCCTTTTCGGCTTCTACCCCGGTGGGTGATTCCATAGTTGCTAAAAGAGTTTATAGGGGTTGTCCCATATCATTGCCCAATAGAGTCACTTTGTTTGATTTGGTGGAACTTGATATGTTAGACTTTGGTGTTATATTGGGTATGGATTGGCTTCGTGCTTGTTTTGCATCCATAGATTGTAGGACCCGAAATGTGAAGTTTCAATTTCCTAATGAACCCATTTTAGAATGGAAGGGAGGAAATTCCGTTCCTAGGGGAAAGATCATTTCATGTCTAAAATCTTGTAAGTTGATTTCTAAGGGTTGTCTCTATCATATTGTGAGGGTCAAGGATCTTAAGTCCGAGATTCCTCCTTCGGAGTCGATCCACGTAGTGAAGGATTTCTAGAAGTCTTTCCCAATGACTCACCCGGGATTCCTCCCGATCGGGAAATAGATTTCGGCATAGATTTATTGCCGGATACACAACCCATTTCAACTCTTCCTTACCGGATGGCCCTGGCGGAGTTGAAGGAATTAAAATCTCAACTCAAAGATTTGTTAGATAAGGGTTTCATCCAACCTAGTATATCTCCTTGGGGTGCACCAGTGTTATTTGTGTAGAAGAAGAATAGATCTCTTCGTATGTGTATTGATTACCGACAATTAAATAAGGTGATCATTAAGAACAAGTATCCACTCCCTAGGATTGATGACTTATTTGATCAACTTCAAGGAGCGAGTTACTTTTCAAAAATTGATTTGAGGTCGGGTTATCACCAACTTAGGGTGAGAGGTGTTGATGTTCCGAAAACAGCCTTCCGAACAAGATATGGTCATTTTGAGTTCTTAGTGATGTCTTTTGGTCTTACAAATGCCCCAGCGGCTTTCATAGACCTTATGAATTGTGTGTTTAGAAATTTTCTAGACTCATTTGTTATTGTCTTTATTGATGACATCTTGATATACTCTAAAAGTGAGGATGATCACCTGAATCATTTGAGGATAGTATTGAAAGTCCTCAAAGATCACCAATTCTATGCTAAGTTTAGCAAGTGCGAGTTTTGGCTAAGATCGGTTGCTTTCCTTGGTCACATTGTTTCTAGTGAGGGTATAGAAGTTGATCCAAAGAAAATCGACGCGGTCAAAAGTTGGCCTAGACCTTTGAGTCCTTCCGACATTCGAAGCTTTTTTGGTTTGGCCGGTTACTACTGGAGGTTTGTTGAGGGATTTTTATCTATTGCATCTCCATTAACGGCCTTGACTCAAAAGAAGTCCAAGTTCGAATGGTCGAAATCTTGTGAAAAGAGCTTCCAATTGCTGAAAGATAAGCTCACCTCCACTCCGGTGTTGACCTTACCGAAGGGCACCAAAGGGTTTGTATTATATTGTGACGCTTCCCGAGTGGGTTTGGGTTGTGTCCTCATGCAGCATGGTAAGGTTATAGCTTATGCCTCGAGACAACTCAAGGTGCATGAGAAGAATTATCCAACTCATGACCTTAAGCTAGCGGCCATAGTCTTTGCTTTAAAGATTTGGAGACACTATCTCTATGGAGTACATGTGGATGTGTTTAGCGACCACAAGAGTCTTCAATATGTTTTTAGCCAAAAAGAATTGAATCTCCGACAAAGGAGGTGGTTGGAACTCTTAAAAGACTATGATATGAGTGTCCTTTACCACCCCGGAAAGGCAAATGTGGTTGCGGATGCTTTGAGTCGTGTATCTATAGGTAGTGTGTCACATCTGGAAGAAGAGAAAAGAGAGTTAGCCCGTGATGTACATAGGCTAGCCCGGTTGGGTGTTCGACTTGAAGATTCCCCAAAAGGAGGTGTTATGGTCTGTCATAATTCCGAGTCATTGGTTGTTGTTGACTTGAAGTCTAAGCAATATCTTGACCCTATTTTGATGGAACTAAAAGAGTTGGTTCTCAACCAAGCAATAGAAACTTTCTCTCAAGGAGAAAATGGGGTGCTTAGGTACTAAGGGAGATTATGTGTGCCGGATGTGAATGGACTAAGATAGACGATATTAGAGGAGGCCCATGGGTCCCGATACTCCATCCATCCGGGAGCCACCAAAATGTATCATGACTTACGTGAGATTTATTGGTGGAACGGAATGAAAAGAAACTTAGCAAATTTTGTGGCTAGGTGATCAAATTGCCAACAAGTCAAATCCGAGCACCAAGGACCGGGGGGTCTAACTCAAGATATTGACACCCCCACTTGGAAGTGAGAAGAGATTAATATGGACTTCGTGGTAGGTTTGCCTCGAACCCGTAGGCAACATGACTCCATTTGGGTTATTGTGGATAGATTGACTAAATCAGTCTATTTCCTTCCCGTCAAGGTTTCTTATTCGGCGGAAGATTATGCTAAGTTGTACATTAAGGAGATTGTGAAGTTGCATGGGGCCATATGTCGATTATTTCGGATAGAGGTGCCCAATTTACTTTCCATTTTTGGAGGTCTTTCCAAAGTGGGCTTGGTACTCAAGTGAAACTTAGTACCGCGTTTCACCCTCAAATGGATAGTCAAGCGGAACGCACCATCCAAACCCTAGTGGACATGTTGAGAGCGTGTGTCATTGACTTCAAAGGTAGTTGGGATGACCACCTACCTTTGATAAATTTTTCGTACAACAATAGCTACCACTCGAGTATTGCTATGGCACCCTTTGAAGCACTTTATGGTAGAAGGTGTCGATCTCTGATTTAGTGGTTTGAAGTAGGTGAATTTGCTCTTCTTGGTCTTGAAGTAGTTTATGAGGTTACGGGAAAAGTTTGACTTATAAGGGATATGTTGAAAACGGTTTATAGTCGGCAAAGTCTTATGTCGATAATAAAAAGAGGGATCTTGAATTTGAAGTAGGTGATTGGGTCTACTTGAAGATCTCACCCATGAAAGGGGTGATGAGGTTTGGTAAGAAGGGGAAGCTTAGCCCCCGGTATGTTGGCCCTTATGAGATCTTGAAGCATGTCGGAAAGGTCGCTTATGAATTTAAATTTCTCCTTGAATTGGCTTGGTTCACCCGGTATTCCATATTTCTATGTTAAAGAAGTGTATAGGTGACCTGGTGTCCATTCTCCCTCTAGAAGGTTTAGAGGTAAATGAGAACCTTTCTTATGAAGAGGTTCTGGTCGAAATGTTAGATCGTCAAGTTAAGAAGTTGACGAATAAAGAGGTGGCTTCCGTAAAAGTCCTATGGGGAAACCACCTAGTTGAGGGTGCAACATGGGAGGCCGAGGCCGATATGAAGTCCCGCTACCCTCATCTTTTTCCTCCTACTCCTAGCCAAAATTGAGGTTAGTAGTCTCTCTTAATTAGGTATAAATTGAAAATCATGTGTATTTATTATTATGACATGATTTCCTTGTATGTGCATATTTTTGTGTAAATTCATGCTTAAGTTGTATTTTGAGTTTCCATGAATTTTGTTTCTCATGGTTGAAATTGCACCCATAGATGTTGTGTGATGTTGTCTTCATGAGAGTTTAATGGGCATGCTTGATGTTGTCTTGTTAAAGAAATGTCTTGTTGATTGCTTATATATATGTTGATGCTCATTGAATATGGAGAAGGTAGTTCCTCCTATACTTATGTGAAGTAAAGAGTTCTGAGCATGGTGATGCGGATTAAATTCCTATCTGATATGATGATATGATGTTGTTGATGTGCCTGGGTGTGGTAGTGCTAGATTGAGTCATTGTCTCCCTAGAAAGAAGTCCAAGTGACATTCGGGGACGAATGTTCCGAAATTTTCTTGACTTAGGTTAGAGCCTCACCTTATGAATAATGAGTTAAAAATAGTTAAAATTTTGTTTCTAAACCTAAATTAATGCAATTGACTTGGTTTGGAAGAGTAAAAGTCTAAACGTCAAGAAATGACCACGATGTCCGGAAACTACAGAAGAATGTGTTCTAGTGTGTCCTTAGGTTTTGGGCAGGTTTGGGAGTGTCCTATGATGATATATTCATGTAAAAAGGTTTAAATTAGGTAAATGTATGTTTATAGGGTCAAAACGTTCGAATACGACCCCCCGGGGCCACCTTAAGGGGACTCGAGGAGGACCCTAACCTTGGCCAAATAAGCTGCCAAGGCAACTTGCAATTTGCACTTGGTGGGAATACCTCCGCGTCGCGGACTAGCTCCCGCAAGGAGCAAAAATTTAGTTCGCGACGCGGTTGTGTCGCGGATTCTACTGTATCGAAATTTAATTCCAAATATCTTCAGAGAACAGCTCTGCGTCGCGACTTGTTCCGCGCCGAAAATGCAGAAATTCAGAAATTGATTTTTACTTCATTAAAGAGTCCAACTAAGTGAGGGGTATTTAGGGTACTTTAGGGGGCGTGTATATAATGATTTTTAAGTCAATTTACCTCACTTTCACCACTCAAACACAAAGCCCCAAAGATCTGAACCTAAAGTTCCTCATTCTCTCTACTCTCTCTCTCTTTTTAGGAACTCCATTGAAGAGGATTGGAGCTTCAA